TGCCCCCCAGCTTCTGCCCTGGGCCACTGCAGGCATGTGTTTGCATTTCAGGAATCAAAACTGTAGACTATCCTGTGAAGATTGAATTAATTCAGACTCAGACTTTTTGACTGTCTGTTCTTAGCCTTAGAGAAGTGACTGAAATGAAAGAAAATAGAATGACTGCTAAATATGATAGCTAGAAAGCTAAACATTCATTTATTTTAAAGACCTGTTTCCTCTTGCAACTAAGTTTGTAGGCAGCTGCATTTTAGAAGTATTTTCCATTCTAATTCAGCTTCTCTTCCAGTGTCAATATACAAATATATATTAATAATTCTTTAAAAGTAACTGAGCTAGTTTGAAGAAAAAAGGTTTTAAATATGTAATGCATGTTTGTTTCTTTGCAGAATAAATGTTTAATGTGCAGAATATTTAGATTTCTTAATAGTCATCTTTAAGTATTGCAGAAAATTGTTTTTGCCTCTAAAAGTATGGAAAGGGTTAATGATGATGATGACTTAGACCATATAATAGTACTGTATCGTGGAAGGCTTATTAGTAAACGATTATTCGAGTATATATTAGTGTGTGTGTCTACATTAATCATGCATTCAGTGGTTGCACCTCAGTGGCTGAAGGAAAAGACTTGTAGGTGTTCATTATAGCTTGTTAGACATTGTTTTGATTTTAGTTACTGGCTGAATATTGTCTCTTTAGGGCTACAGTATTTTTAATTTAAACCTCAACATTTATCAGAAACAGTAGAATTAAATGTGTATAGAGGTGCTATAGAGCTACAGATTGTTAATTGCTTAAGTCTTTTGGATGTTTTTTGGGGGGATGCAGTAAGAATAGGAGACAAAGAATGATATTGATTTATAAATGAATAATGCCATATTTTTAGACGCTGAAAGGGCAGGAGGTGCTATCATGATTAATCTGACTGTCCTCCATTATACAACCCCAGAATTTCATGGTGGTTCCTAATTTTTCTTCACAGCCACAGCTTTTTAGGGTTCAAGTCTTCAGCATTAAGTATGATCTGCGCAACTTTTTTTGTATTAAAGGCACGTGTTTAAGTGTTTCTCCTCAGCTTTCTACTGTTACATTTAAGTTGGTTGGTTCTGGAGTAACAGAAATGTTGCAACGTTTTTCAATACCGAATTGAGAGAACTTGCTGTGATTCTTGTAATATAAATAATAGTGGTATTTTATTTTGGAGAATGAACCATGTAAAGAACAAAAAAGAGCTAGGCTGCTTACCTCAGTGTCTGAATAATGAACAATGATAGTCTTAATTTTACCAGTTTAGATAAAATAGGCATTACTCTAACATGGTCTTATAAGGAGCATTTTAACACAATTGAGGAATGTTTTCTTTTGTTAGTTCCTGATTCAAAAGCACTTAGTCTGTTTCTGTATTTTCTCAAATTTATGTAGCTTTCAACGGGGTAAGTATGACCTTCAGATTTTGAACATAGTAGAGCATATTCATTTGGAACATATTTTCTGTATCTTGTCAAAGTTACAGTGTCAGAGAAATGTTTTTATAGAGGAAGTCCAAGAATCTAGATTTAGGAATACTTAACTTGAGCATAAGCTAATTAGATTCATGAGAACCACAGTTTGGTAAAAAAAAAATCCAATTTATAAATCCAGTATATGTAGAACTATATTGGGGAAAACCCCTCCACCTCACAGTGCTTTCTGTAAAACAGATTCTCAAATGTTGACAACTATGAATAAAACAGGGGCAATTATCTAAACAGTCTTGGTCATTTTTTTTCTAATAGTAAGGTATTAGGTAGTCAGGTGTTAGGTATTAACATGGTGTTTAGGTTTGCTGAATTTACCTGTCTGAATGGCTCTTGAGCAGGTGGTTTCCAAAAGGGTTCAGATCACTGAGAATATACTGTACTGCTTATTTGCTTTATTTGCCTTTGTGAAGAATGTTAAGATTTGTGTACATGCACAAACATTTACAGTGAGAAAAATAAAATAAAAGTTTTGTTTATGAAAAAGGTGAAAAAAAAGGATTATGTTTTGAAGGTCCAAGTTTTGAGTAACTTGACCACATCTTATACAATGAGACTTGGGCATATTTTGAAATAGCGGGACAAGCTAACTCATGCTTTGGGTATTTTGGCAGTGTTCATGCTTCTGACCATTTTATCATATAATTTGGCTTTTAAGTAATGTTAAATTTATTTTTACTTTTTATTGTTGAAGCACTTGAGAAACCACAATCAGGATTGAAATACAGTATGGGCTGTGCTACAAAAAAGCTATTTTCACTCCAGAATGCTTCAGTTGAAAGCACAACTGTTTTTACTTGAGGATAATTTGGTGATGTTTTTCTCTGGCTTTCAAGAGAAAAAGACAAGAACTGCTACAACACTTTATAGTCAAAATACAGCAAAGTGGAAGTCCAGCAGGAGAGGAGGAAAATGTGCGTTATCCCTATTCATGTGGCCACAAACCAGTTGTGTGGGCCACAGTCCTACCCCAGTTTTGTGCTGCGGAAAAAGGAAGATTTCACATTCTCTGAATTGTTTCTGAGAGGCTGCATGTTTTACCTAGAAATGTGGTCATGCACATAATAAATGCTCATTAATGATGTGTATTGGTTTGGGTATGTTACTGAATGGAGAATAATGAAAATTAACTGGAG